ACAGAGACAGAGACAGAGATGAGACAGAGATGAGGGAGACAGAGACAGAGACAGAGAGACAGAGAAAGGCAGAGAGAGAAACAGAGACAAAGAGACAGAGACAGAGACAGAGAGAAAGAGAGACAGAGACAGAGCAAGACCTTGCAAAGAGCTGTAATCTATTATCTCATTTGGAGCTCAACCACCATACAAGTCTGGTGGACGACTTCAGGGAGCACATGGACCGGGGTCACCCAGGAGAGGGTGTGGTTGGGGTGGGATTTGCATGAGTGGTGGGAGTGCCCATATTGAGCACTCCAGCTCAGCTTCAGCATTGAGATCATCCCTGTCACTGGTATCTCCTGTCTGATTGCAGAGAGAAAATAATGCAGCTTCACAGATGATCAAGACCCCCCCCCATCCCCATATACCTTCTCCCCATTGATGTTGGTTTATTCCATTTCTTTTCCCAAGAAGTCAAGTCAACAAGCATTTATTAAACACCTAGAGTGCTACAGAAAAGCAAATCTGCATTCTCCACGCCTTGCTCAGTCTCCATGGAGGTGGCACTATTTGCTAGGCTAGTTATACGGATTAGGGTAGGGCTGGGGCGGAGGGTGGGGAGTGGTCACCTACGTTTGGTGCAGACAATTTTGGGCCGGTCCCACTTTCCATTGCTGTGACACTTGATGGTGGCCACGTGGTGTTGCGTGAAGCCCTTGTCACACTGGTAGCGCACACTCGAGTGGATACTGTACTTGGCCTTCCGAGGGCCCACTGGCGAGGCGTTTTCCACCGCTGGAGGGGGGCCGCATAGCACTGAGGACACAGGGGCCAGGACCCAGTCAGAATGGGTCAGAGGACAAGCCTGGGTTCAGGCTGGCCCAGAAATGAAAATGCTGTGTGTCAAGGGGAATGTGGTTATGGGGGCAAGGGGAGAAGACTCCACTCCTGAACAGGAAGTCTTCCATGATGGAGTAATGAGGTCTAGGAAAGACTTCCCTTAGCAGCAACCTGCTCCCATCTCTAGGCTTGCTATTTTCTCATGTAAATATAGGGAATGCCAGAGCTGGAAGGGACTTCAGAGCATAGAATATTAGAATAGAGAAGATAGAGACTAGTGGCCCCTAAATAGAGCTAAGATCTTTACTTAAGACCATTAACCTTAGGAACAGATAAACAGAATGCTTGACCTTTGGTTCATGGACATAAGCTAAACTTTGATCTGTATGACATGATAGATACATATATCTAGGTTTGTATCCATACCCACCCAACCCTATGATATGTACTTCTGTGTGTATTTGTCCTCTACTTGTCTGAATTCAGCATTTTTATGACAACCTCCTAATCCCCGGGATCCATCTCACCCGCTTGCCCACAACCTATACCCACTCACATATGTAAACACTTCTTAACCTTCAGCTTGGATGTAACTCAGCAGGCCCTCGGTATGCTGTGAGAGTGGGGTCAGTTTATGGTTAGGGTCGACATTTAGAATGATATGTAATGCAGTAGGTGATGGGAGTGGTTGGGCTGCGTGGCTTTGAAAGTCTCTGCCATTCTATGATTCAATGACCTTAGAGGCTATCCAGTCTAACCAGTCCATTTCACAGGGAAGGAAAGCGACACATAAGGAAGGGAAAAGACTTGCCCAAGGCCACATTACCTGGAAATGGTAGAGGTAGGATCATAACCTGAGTTCCATGACCCCCAGGCCAGAACTCCCTGCATTCCACCATGGATTGTCAGATTCTCTCTCTTTCTCTCTCTCTCTCTTCATCTCTCCCTCTCCCTCTTTCTCCATCTCTCTTCATCTCTCTCTCTCTTTCTCCCTCTCCGTCTCTCTTTCAGTTCTCTCTCTCCCTCTCTTCATCTCTCTTCATGTCTCTCTCTCTCTCTCTCTCTCTCTCTCTCTCTCTCTCTCTCTCTCTGTCTCTTCCCCCAGTATAGCCTTTTCATCACTCCTCTGCCCTACCCGATACCCTTAGCTTCCCAAGGTCTCTCTGCCTGGAGAGTCTGCTGTTACCTGTGCCTTTCTTACAGACGTAGGGAAGGTTGTAGTTGCAGGGGACATCATTCCAGCGGCCACTCTCATGGGCCACCATCACCACACAGTCCTCCCCACCTGCAAAGAAGTTATCCGGCTGCTTCTCTCGCCAGTTTTCATATTGCTGTTGGGTCAGAGGAAAGGGAGAATGTCAGCCCTATCTCTGTCTTGGTGAAGGAGTATGAAGAGCAATATTTTTTCTGTTCTTTGCATCCACTGGCTCAGGACTCCTCTCCCCAAGGCACTGCTGGACTCGGGGTCTCCCTGGTCAGCGCTTATCTTTCTGGAGTGGGGAGAGAGAGGCCATGGTCTCTCTCTGTTCCTAGGATTGGAATCAGGACCAGTTCAGGGGGCCAGTCTCCTATTAGGAATTTTAGCTCTTGAAGGGAACTTGGACAGCATCTAATTCAATGCTTTCATTTTATAGATAAAGAAACTGGGAGGGAAGTGATTTGTTCAGTCACACAGCAAGTTAGCGGCAGTTAAGACTGAAACCCCAGTCTTTTGACTCCCAGGCTGGGGTTCTTCCTCATATACTTCCACTCTCTTCTGCCACACCTATACCAGCTGTACCCCTCGAGGGAAACTCAGACTCAATCCCCTCTACCCAGGGCCAAGTCAGGGGACCCAGACCTCACTGGATCTCTGCCACTGACTTCCCTTCCTTCAGCTCACCAGGCCTGTGTTGTCTGTCCACTGGAAGTCCCGCTCCACAATGCGGTCATTCAGCCCGATCCAGGTATTCTCATGGCCAAAGCCTGAGGAGGGAAGTGCCCCAGCCCAGGGGGTGGGGGAAGAAGGCCATCACTGGGGGTCTAGGCCAGTGGGATCCCCTCTCCTCTCACCATCCCCAAGGGGGGTAGACTCGAGGCCACTGTGAATCCCATCACCCAAGGAGAGTTTGTGCTGAAGTCATTGGTGAACGGGCCATACCCCCACATCCAGCGGCCACTATCCCAGAGGATTGGGGTCCTTGGATTCAACCACAGTAACAACAACCACTGACGCTTTTATAGTGCTTTCAGGTTTACAAAGCCCTTTTCTCATAGTCTTGTGAGGCAGGAAGTACAAGTGTCCTCATTTTATAGCTAAGGAAACTTAGGCTCAGACAGAGACAGTGACTGATCCAGGTCACACAGCTGCTAAGTGCCTTGGACCTGACTGGATCTTCCCAACCTGATCTTCTATCTCCTAGGGCCCACCCAGGTCCCTCCTCCCCACTCCCAGGCCTAATGTCCCAGCCTCATACTATTGATAAAGCCGTGTTCTTCGGGGGAGTGGATGCTGGTGAGGTGGCCAGCTCGGCGGCGGCAGTCTCTCTCTGCGTCCTCCCAGGCCCGGCGGTGGGCAAAGTATCGATAGCAGTGTCCCTGGAATTTGTGCCAGTTGTGGTCGCAGCCTTCTGTGTCTGGGGCCAGAGGCAAGGGATGATTCTTAGGGTTCCTGAACTGGGAGCTTCTGCTCTTTCACCTCTATGACCTCATCCCACCCACATCCCCACCTCTCCACTCACCCACCTACACAAAGCTTGGGCTCCAAGGAGCCAAGGCACTATTCCAAATTATCAGCAACCACTTGAATTTCCAGGCCCATGCCCCACCCTCCTGCAGAAACTGAGGGCTCAGTTTCTTCTATTCATCCCATCCCCTCTCAATGACCCAGAGAAGTCTGGGAGCTTAGAATACTGAATTCCTCTTGCTGGGATATTTCTAGATTTGGGGACTCCTAAAGGGGGCAGGGGTGGGGAGAGTCATGGATCAAAAGATTTGGAAGTCACCACTAAAAGAGACAAGCATTGAGCAACTTCTGCATTTTGCTGATGGGAAGTCTGAAACTTAGGGAGGGTAAGAGACTTTTCCAAGGTCACACGTAGCTAAGGGCAGATCTGGAACTAGAAACCAGGTTCCCTAACTTACATTCCAAAGTTCTTCCTACTGTGCCATATTGCCTCTTTTTGGGACTAGGGCATGGAGGCACAGCTACCTTCTTCTTCTTCTTCTTCTTCTTCTTCTTCTTATTTTTTTTTTTGGCCAGGGAATGGGGTTAAGTGACTTGCCTAGGGTCACACAGCTAGTAAGTGTCGAGTGTCTGAGGTCAGATTTGAACTCAGGTCCTCCTGACTCCAGGTCCAGCACTCTATCCACTGCGCCACTTAGCTGCCCCAACAGCTACCTTCTTAAAAGAGACCCTTACTCTCTACATGCAGGAGCTAGAAACACCAACACATCTGATTGCTTTCTGAGCTCCACATCTTCGCTAAACTTGAGCGTTTTATCCTCTTCCCTGGCCTTCCCAGCCCTTTCACTAAACTCTTACCCCTAATGGTGCCCCCGTTCCCCTCCCTGATTCCCATCTCCCTCACAGAGCACTGCACCCCACCCCATAAGTGAACTTTTGTCTCTCTACCCACTAGAACCCCTCCCCTTTAGTGAGCCCACCCCACTCTCAATGACCCACCATCACTTCATTGTGTCAAAGAGAAATGGAGTTGCTCAAAGGGAAACCATTCAGGGTTCAGAACTCCCCCATTTTTAGGCCATTTCCCTTTCCTTTCTCCCTAACACCCCCCCGCCTTTACCTTCTCTCCTTTATATTCAGCTAGAGGCAATGGCCATATTGAGAATATCCCCTTCTTGGCCCCAGGGGGTAGAGGCGGCTGCTTTTAGTAAATTCTAGGATAGCACCAGATGGGGGTAGCGGGTATGGAGTTTTACTCTCTTTGCAGAGGGCTTGAGAAGCCAGGGAGAAGGAGAGGTGTGCCCCGGATGGAAGGGGCGGGGAGTCCCAGGGCCTAGCCTGGACTGGTGGGGCTCCTCTCCTTTCCCCTTCTGGGTAGAGACAAAGAAATGATCTCACCTTTGTCACAGAGACTCCCGCCGTAGCTGGGCAGACACAGGCAGATAAAAGAGTTGACTTCATCAATGCAAGTGCCCCCGTTTAGACAAGGGCTTGACAGGCAGTCATCAATATCTGGGGAGGAGATGGTGTCAGGTTCAAAACGCAGCCTCCTTTCCTCCCTCAAGCTTCCTCCCCCTTCCCTTCAGCCCCCAGGTTCTGAGCCATGCCAAAAGCAGAGCCCATGACCCTGCAATCTATACCCTCCCCCCTGGGTGGCTTTCCAGCAGATGGAGAAGGCAGCTCCATCAGCAATTAGCATTAATTAGGGCCCCACAAAAGCTGCCATGAATAAGCAGGCTCTGAGCTTGGGGTGGGCAGGAGAGAGGTGAAGGAGGGGCAGATGCAGGCTTCAGGCAGGGAGGGGTATGAGTTTGCTTAATACACTCCTCCCCCAAACTCTCCAGATGAGGCAGGAGCCAGGTTATGTAAAGAATCACAAAACCACAGAATGTTAGCACCGGAAGAAATCTTGAAGACCATCTCCTCCAATCCCATCATTGTACAGATGGGGAAACTGAGACCCGGTGAGGGTCTTACCCCACTCCAGGTCACACAGTAAGGTAGAAGTAGAGTGGGGATGAGAACCCTAAGGGAGGTCCAGCCGCGGTCTCTGTTCCAGCGGGGGAGGGGGACAGGCTCCCTCCCCATTCTGCCAGGCCCAGGCTCCGGAGATTCCTCGGGGTCAGGAATTTGGAGAACAAGGCACAATTCTTTCCCTACACTGCCTCACAGAAAAGGCCAATAAGTCAGGCCTTCATTCCTGTGACTGTGGTCCTGCGAGGTCCCTATGGTTTCCTTGGAGATATGGCAGGACTGAGTTACAGCCACCTCTGAGAGCCTTAATGCTAAACGGGGTTGATTTATCCAGGTCTAATGAAGCAGTATGGGACAGAGGGCTGGGCTTGGAGTCAGAGGACCCAGGTTCAAATCCTGACTATCGACATGATCTTCAGCAAGCCCTTTCCCTCTCTAGGCCTCAGTTTCCTCATCTGTAAAGTGAGGGTTTTGGGCTCAGCGGCAACTGAGGGCTCTTCCATCGCTGGAGCCATGATCCGATCATTGCATTGTAGCCCTCTCCAGTCCCACTTGGGACAGCCACAGCTCCATCTTCTCTTGTTCCTCAAGTCCCCAACCTCATGAAATAATAGTGGAAATGGCCATAGGACCGTAGCTCTAGAGTCCAAATTCTTCACTTTACAGATGAAGAAACCGAGGCTCACAGAGGGGAAATGACTTGCTCAAGGTCATCCAGAAAGGAAAGGGCCAAGTTGGGATCTGAGCCCAGGTCCTTCTCGACTCCAAATCTAGTGCTCTTTCCGTACCATGCTCCCTTTCAGAAGACTGGAGTTCCAATCCAGATTCTGCTTTTTTTCACTCCATGTAAGACTCTGGGCAAGGCACATCCCCTCTTGCTTTCCTCATCTATAAAATGAGAAGGTTTGACTAGACTAGATCTCTAAGGTTTCTCCCAATGTCAGATTCTGCAATCCTTAAAAACCCAAGTTATTTGCAGCCAGTGTTGTGCTCCTGGAGGTGGCTCACATTGGCTTTTGAGAGCCAATTGTTAAATTTTCAGTGTGAGTATCAACACCTCAGAAATCAGTAAATACTACAAATTTGTTGTTTTGTTGATTGTCTAGACTTAATAAAGTGATGGAAAAATGTTAATAATGCAGATTAAGTATAAATATTGTTGTGTATACATCCCTCCCACCCCAAAAGCTGGTTGTTAAATGTTTACCAACACACCCCTGTCTGTAGCCAAACTCTTCCTCATCTTCATGGTCTTTATACATGCTAGTGGATAATGCTCAGAGACAGCTGGGATGCAGAAAGAGCCCTGACCTGATGCTCCATGTCCTGGTCTGTCCTCTGACACGCTATGTGTGCATGAACAAGGCTTCCTTTCTCTGGGCCTCAGACTTTTCAAAAGGCCCTTTCTAGCTCTGAGGGTCTGTGGTTCTGTGATTCACTGGGATGGCTCTCCGTCAGACTGCACATAGGCTCCAGGGTACAGGACTGAGGCTCTTTCCTCAGGATGGCAGTAGGTATGTGTGTTGGTGGAGGGGGAGGAATTCCAAAGAAAGACTCACCGATCTCACAGTTCTCCCCCGTGAAGCCTTGGTCACAGCTGCAGCCAAAGCTGGTATGATTGGCATGGCATGTGCCACCGTGAAGACAGGGGTTGTTTTCACAGGGGTTAGCTGGAGCTGTAAGACAGAAACTTGAGAGTGAGAGGGGTTGGGGGGGGGTACCTGCCTGCCCATCTCAGTCCAGCCCCAGTTCCAGCTTCTTGTCCAGGACGACCTCTTGGAACGTGCTGATGGTGGCGGGAGAGAGATGAGCCTTTCTCCTCTTCCCAATAAAACTGAACAATATGCTTTTTAAAGCCCCCACTATGTGCCAGGCACGGGGCTAGGTGTGGGGATACAACAAAGCAATTCCTGCCATTAAGGAGTTTACATTTTAGCAGACAGGAGTTTGGGCCAGGGTTAAGAAAGGATGTAATGGTGGTGGTGATTGTTGTTTTTCTTCTTTTAAATTTTCAATTAATAAGCATTTATTTTCTCTCTTTGTTTCTGTCTCTCTTTTTCTCCCTCTCTCACTTCCCCCACATTGAAAAGAAAAAGAAAACACTCATAACCCTTGCAAAGATCACAAACCCTTGTAACTCACATAGTTAAGCAAAATAAATTCTCTTAGAAGATTCCGAGCACACGCCGCTCTGAGATGAACTCTCCTTTCCAGAACAGCACCCTCATCCCTATTCCCCAACTCCCACCCCCTTTTCTGATTGGTACTCCCCTTTTCCTCTAAAGATAAACTTCCCAACTCTGTCTTGCTTGGATTCCAGGAAATAAAATTATCATCACCACCACCACCATCATAAATGACAACACAACTGTCATTTAAATGGCATTTTAAAGGTTTGCAAAGCCCTCTAAAGAAATTATCTCATTATAGCTTTCCTACTACCTATGATGAAGGGTACTGCAGTGATTATCATGCTCATTTTATAGATGGGGAAAATGGAGGCAGGCTTCAAAGTCAGATCTTCAAAGTCAGTACTATTTCTACTGTCTCATGCTGCTTCTCTTGGGAATGTTAATAGGGGTCATCTTTCTCTGCTTTTCTCAGTCCTCTCCCACCCCAGCCAGCCCTCAGGCGATCAGGCACCCTGTGCCCTGTTCTTTAGTATCCTTTTGAGAAAAGATAGTCAAAAACTATCATGACCCTGAAGTTAGCCTTGCAGGAAGAAACGTCCCTTCCTTTGGGATGACCGCTGAGATGTGTATGTGGCCACACTGGGTCTCTGTCTACACAAGCACAGGTCTGTAGCCAAGGGATTACGACTATCAATCATTCTGGATGGGACCAGGCCTCTCTCTGGGGGTTGGCTGAAGGAATCTGGAGTGACGACCCATCCTGGGTGAGGTGAATTTAGGGACAGCTGTCACAGGCAGTCTCATGGACACACACACAAACACAAACACATACACAGCCCCACTGTCAGCTGGGCACTTACACAATAACACCTAGTCCAGTGGGTCAGGAGGCCCTTAGAACGCAGAATGTTAGAGTTTAGAGGAACCTTCCAACACACCATGTTAGAGCTGTAAGGGGCCTGAGCAAAAAGAACATTGGAATTGGGGTCCTTTTCTCTCCCAGCTCTGTCTGAGGCAGTGACTAAACCTGGGAAAGTCTGGGTGATAGTGGAACGAGACAGGATTCCTAATCCAGCCCTCAATGGGTATTTTTGGCCTCCTGCCTTGATTTCTCTATTTTGCTTCTTGCCTCATCTTTCCCACACATCCGATCCTGTCGTCTCCCCTTCCCCATTGTTCACACTCTGCCCAGCACGGATGGACAGCTCCTCCCCCAAACCAATTCAGTGGCCTGCTCTCTCACTGCCCTCCCAATGCAGTGTCCTAATGCTGCTTCTCCTTCTGCAGGAGGCGTAGACCCCACAGATGCCTCAGCAGATGGCATGAGCCTGGGTATCAATTACTCCTCTAATTAGTTGACTGACTTTAAGCCATCTCTCCCCCGGGGGGATCGGCATCCTGGCCTGGCCCAAAGAGCATTGAGGCAGAAGGGAGGGAGGAGGAACCCAGCCCCCAACAGCTTAGTTTCTTCATATTAGGGAAACATATTTGTCTAGCACCTTGGGACTGAGTGGGGAAAAAGTTGAACTGAACACTCACAGAAAGAGGGTCTGAGATCTCTGTGGACCCCATAACCCCCTCCTGAGACAAGCTGGACTGAGTTTGTCCCCCTCCTCAGGGCAGGGCCAGGCTCTCCTGCTCTAGGGATAGAGGCGTGTGGGATATAAGGCAGAGTTGACTCTCCCTAGCACAGCGGGGCGGGCAGAGGTCCAGAAGGTTCTACAATTTGCCCAGGGCCCTTTCCTCTCTTAGAGGCTCAGCCAAGAACACACAAGCCCTATTTTTCTCCCCTCTCAGTTAGTTATGATGATAAAAGGGTGAAGACTGCAAAGGAAAGAGACTCCAAAGTTAGGCATGGCTCAGCCTGGTCCCTCTTATTCAGGCATTCAGAGGGACAGAATGATAGCTAGGAAGAGGCAGTAGGAGACCAAGAGCAGGTCCCCCAGTTTCTGTCTGCAGAGATATAGGGGCGACTATGGAGGTTCTTCCAGCTTTCCCTGATCCCCTGATTTGGGGGATGATGCTAGCTGGCATTTACGTGGCACTTTAAGCCTTGCAAAGCTCATCTCATGTGTTATCTCATTTGGTCCCCACAACAATCCTGGGAGTTAGGTGCTATTATTATAATACCCATTTTATAGAAGAGGTAACTGAGGCTGAGAGAGGTTAAGTGATTTGTATAGGGTCATACAGCTAGTAAGTGTCTGAGGCAGAATTAGAACTCGGGTCTTCCTGACTCCGAGTCCAGTGCTCTTTTCCCTAGAGTGCCACCCAGACGCCTGTGTTATTGTGAAAGTGCCTAGGTGACAGGGTGACAGGTATGAGCCGTGACTGTGAACAGGTAAAACTGGAGGTATGAGATTGAGAGTGTGTATGACTGATCCTTCAGGTGACTGTGTGACCATGTGTATCTGTGGCTCAAAGAACCCCGAAAGGGAATTTTACAAGGTTGCATGATAATCTAGTCCAACTCCTTTTCTCAAATGAGGGACCTGAGGCTCAGGAGGAGAAGACACTTGTTCAAGGTCACATAGGGAGGCAGTATTTAAACCCAGCTCCTCAGCCTCTAGATCCAGTACTTTTCCAAGATGCCATACTGTCATCCGTCTCTGGCCAAATATAACTCTAAGAATTCTTAACCTGGATTTTTCTTCAGCTTGGACCAGGAAAACAATATCTGTATTTCAATATGATTGGTTTCTTTATAATCTTTAGGATTTGGGTTTATGCGTTTAAAAACATGATTCTCAAATTGTTTACCATCTCAGAGAGGGGGGAGTGAGGGAGGGAAGGAGAACATTTGGAAATCAAAATTTTCAAAAAATGAATGTTAAAAATTGGCTTCACATGTAATTGGGGAAAAGGAAAATATTATTTAAACAAACCATGATTCTGAGAAGAAAGCCATAGGCTTCTCTAGACTGACTACCCTTGGGGTCCATGACACAGAAAAAGGTCAAGAGCTCCTACTCTAGGGACCCAGGCCTCTTGGAGCACAAGCAGGCTAGAGAAAATCGTGTTCAGAGGGCCTGGTGCTCACACACACTGCTGCCCAAATGTGTGTGTGGCCACGTCTGGTCTGCGTCTGGCAAGCATGGGCCCATGTGGGTGGCTCAAGGATCCGCCCTCTCTCACCTGCCCACGGAACTGCAGTGACTCAGGCGCTCTTTCCAGCACTGATTACTATTTTCAAATTCATTTGCATTTCTGCCAGGAGAGACTGTCTGCAGCTCCCGAAGTTTCTTCACACCCTTCCCCCATATTAAGTTTCCTTCCATCCCACCAGCGACGAGGCCAAGAGACTGCTTCTTCCTTCCTGCTCCACGACGGCTTAGCAGGGAGACCAGAAGCTTTAGAGTGATGCTGAGATCCTCTTTCTGCCCTGACATTCCATGTTCTATGTTCTAAGGGCCCTCCCAGCTCTGACATTCTCTGTTCTAAGGTCCCTCCCCACTGCCACATTCTATGTTTTCAGGTTCCTCCCAGCTTTGACATTCTATATGTTAATGACGTTTCCAGCTGTCACATTCTGTGTTCTAAGTTCCCTTCCAGCTCTGACATTCCGTGTTCTAGGGTACTTCCCAGCTCTGACATTCTGTGTTCTAAGTTCCCTCCCAGCTCTGACATTCTGTGTTTTCCTTGCTAAAGCTCATCCCTCTACCTGAGCCTTTGATTGGACTCCTTCCTACCTCCTCAAGGGCCTTGTTCCAGACATCAGCAGTTTTTGCTACAGTTGACCACTGCCTTCCACTGAATACACTCTCATCCCATGGCTTCAGACATACCACATTCTGCTTCTTCTCCTCCTACTTCTCTGTTTCCCAAAGATCTGTCCTGGGCCTCTTCTTTCTTTACTTTCTCCTTTGGCAATCTCATTCATTGCCATCGCTTGGACCACCACCTGTTTCCCAGATGACTTCCTAATCTCAGTCTTTCATCTCAGGTGAACTCCAGACACACATCTCCAACCACCTTCAAGAAGTGGTTACACAGATGTACTCCAGCGTGTCCCAAACTGAGATCACTACCTTTCTCCTTAGACTTGTTCCTCCTTCCAATCTGATAGTTTTTGTCAGTAGCACCCCTCCTCCATTCAAATAATCTCCTCTGTTTATAACTTTAGAGTTATCTTTATTCACTCCCCATCACCTTGGGCAAGCCACTTAACTTGCCTGGGCCTCAGTTTCCTCTTCTGTAAAATGAAGATGTTGGATTATATTACATCTAAATTCCCTTCCAGTTCAAAATCCGTGATCCATGATGTGCTTTCATGGTCCATCAGTTACTAAGCCATAAGATTTATTAAGAGCCTATGGTGGGGCAGCTGATGGCGTAGTGGGTAGAGTGAGATTCCTGGAGTCATGAGGACCTGAATTCAAATGTGACCTCAGACACTTACTTACTGGCTGTCTGACCCTGGGAAAGTCACTTAACCCTCCAAAACAACAACAGTAACAACAACAACAACAACAGAGCCTATGATTTTCAGGGCTCTATACTTGTCCTGGGAAAGATGCAAAATTTAGCTAAGATACAATACCTGC